TCCTCAACTTACGACCGGTTTAGTCCTCGACTTACGACTGGTTGGGGGTCGCGGCATTAAAAAGGTATAGGGTCTCCTGCTTGAGCAGTAGGTTGGACTAGATGACCTCCAAGGTCCCTTCCAACTCTTATTATTATTGTTACTGTTATTGTTACTGTTATTATTGCTGTTGTTGCTCTTAATATTATTATTGTTATTATTTTGATGCACTGATAGGAAATCTGTTCTTTGAAATGGCATGATGTCCAAGTATAGTTCCAGTGCAGTTCCGAAATTTGCAAAAATATAAAACGTCTCAGAGGAAAAGACGATGGGTGTGATTCCAGAACAACTTATGAAGACTATTTCATCTGTATGTCCTGTAAGTGTGAAATGTGAGCTGTTAATGGAGGAAAAAGAAATGGCAGTGAGGGGAGGGGAAAAATAGAGGCTGTGCCCTTGAAAAATATCCTCATTGAAACCTTTGGTTTGAACACTTGAATGCTTGGCTTTCACCAATGACATTTAGGGAGAGAGAGATCGAAAAAGCCAAGATGGTAGCCACAATTTCACGACTGAAACCTCTGGGGACATTTTCATTTACTATATTTAAAATATTTATGTAGCGACCCATCTTTCAACCAACTCTGGACAGCTCTCAATCAAAGATGACACACAGGTATCATTTAAGATGGTGGCTCCCATCGTAAATGACACATAAAAGAGCTCATGTTTCTACAGGTAGTCCTCAACTTACATCAATTCATTTAGTGTCTGTTTGAAGTCACAACAGCATTGGAAAAAGTGACTTACGAGCATTTTTCATACTTACAACCATTACAGTATCCCCCTGGTCACACGATCAAAATCCAGATACTTGGCAACTGACTCATATTTATGACAGTTTCAGTGTCCCAGGGTCACGTGAACATCTTGTTCAACCTCCTGATAAGCAAAGTTGCTTAACAACTGTGTTACTAACTTAACAATTGCAGTGCCTCATTTAACAACTGTGGCAAGAAAGGTCATAAAATGGGCCAAAATTGACTTAACAAATGTCTCAGCAACAGACATTTTGGGCTCCATTGTGGTCATAAGTCGAGGAGTACCTGTATTGCGTGCTCACAGCTGCCATCTTGATGCTTCTGACCCTCCCCCTCCCGCAGATGTTCTTTTTTTCACAAAAGGTGCAGACTCTTTTCAAAAAAAGTTTCTAAGCTCTTTCTCAATGTTATTCTCCTCTGAAAACTGAAGGACTGAAGAGAGCACAATGCCCACTGCATTCGTTTCTTTGTTTTTCCTTGGGGGCTGTTATTTCCCCCTCAGGCATGGCTTGCAAAAGTCATCTTGCTGCTTTGTCAGTTGTCTGTTGCTGCACAACAGTATTCTCTTCCACAGGGGCAAGGTCAAATGGATTTTGCTAAGAGCAGCAGGTTACTTATTTACTTTGTCCTGGAGTGAAAGGTCCTGAATTTTCTCTGTTCCCATCATTTATTTTTGTTTGTTCTAAGGCTAGGGGGAAAAAAAAATGAAACGGCAATTTGGTCGGTCTTAAAAAATAATGTGTGTCAAGTGAGCCAAGACTTTTATCCCCAGAGACAGAAAGAGGAACGACTATGCCAGGATTTTCTCTTTTGGCTTCATTTAATTCCTTCAAATTATTTCTAGAAATAAATGGGATCCAGTAACCTGTGAAACAGTTTAGCCTCTGTTTGGGGACAAAATGAAAAATGTAGGACAAGTTCATAATCCAAAATTCAAATTCTGCTATTAATAATGTTGTATTATTAAATGAGACAATTACAGGTAGTCCTCAATTTATGTCCATTTGTTTAGTGATCGTTCAAAGTTACAATGGTACTGAAAAAAAATGACACCGACTTATGACTAGTCCTCACACTTATGACCATTGCAGCATCCTTGTGGTTGTCTGGTTGTGATTTCGGGGGCTTGGCAACTAGCAAGTATTTATCATGGATGCAGCATCCCAGAGCCATATTACCACTAGTCTGCAAGCTTCCCAGCTGGCTTCTGACAAGCAAAGACAATGGGGAAGCCAGCAGGAGGTCGCAAATCATGGTCACATGATGTCTTGCTTAATGATTATGGCAAAAATGTGGTAAAATTGGATGCCGCTATGTGATGCCTCACTTAATGACCATAACACTGCTTAACAAATTTTCCACTCCCAATTGTGGTCATAAGTCAAGGACTAACTGTAAAGCTTTGGGGAAGGGAAACTTGTGGTCCTTAAGTAGCTTTCCACTTGATTTCCAAATTAGTCTGTAAGTAGTTAGTTCAGACACAATGTCCACAGGATGTGTTCAAAAAAGTCAAGATGGTACCCCTCCCTCCCCAAAAAAACTCACACATAAAAACCAGGCAGAGCTTTGATCGCAATCTTAACCTTTTTGAATGCACCCTGAAGATACTCCTGAGTTCCTTCTTCCTTTCCCCAACAGCTTGCAAGCCTGGAAAAGTAGAGGAAATTGAATTGGTAGGGGAAAAGGGAAAGATGAAAGTATTAGCCTGTGAATGAAAGAGTACTGTTGGCTCCAACTTTACTGCTTCCTGGTATGTATTCCCTATTTTATCTTCAAGAAAATGCAATCCTTTATAAGACAACTGTGCACTGAAAGAAAGATCTCCGATAATAACCTAAGAATTCATACTCTATTAAATACTCCAGAGGTCCCCAACATTTTGGGCAACAGAGACTGGTTCCGTGGAGAGAGGTTTTTCCATGGACCAAAGAGTGTGTGGTTTTGTGTGTTGCCTGCATCCTGTGGATGGGGCTTTGCTTGTTTGTGCGGACCGGTTGCTGGCATGCCGTGGCCCAGTACCAGTCCATGGACCTGGAGTTGGGGACCTCTGAAGTACTCTATTCATACCTAATAAAACACTTGGTGTAGCAATTTAAACCACAATACGTTGGACAAACTCTGGGATCTGGTTAACATAACACAGTCACCAACAGGCATGATCATCTATGGCAGTGGTTCTCAACCTTTCTAATGCCACGACCCCATAATACAGTTCCCCATGTTGTGGTGACCCCCAACCACTTATACATCACCAGGTGCCAGGGGCGTGGCCAAAGAAAAGGGGGAAAAAATGGCGGACAGCCTTGTTTGGCGACCCCCGTGAAATGGTCGTTTGACCCCAAATGGGGTCCCGACCCACAGGTTGAGAACCATTGATTTATGGTTTAGGTTTAGGACAAAGAGTGACGGAGATTTCTAAACTGAAGAAGGAATGGTTTCATACTGGAGAAAAGCTTCTTGTCTCACATTTCAGTGAGCTAGAAATGCTGGAAATATGTTATTTAACTCCTAACATCTGGACAGCATTAATTTGGGGAAAACTTGCGTATGTACATGCTTACCTGAAAGTAAATCCCTACTCCCTTTAATAAAGGTATAATTCTTTTGACTATGTGGGTGAAAGCTATGTTAACTTCAGTTAGTTCTTAGACAACTCTCACATATAATTGAAGGCTGCAGCCTGAGTTACAAACTCAATGATCTTGTGGTTCAAAAAATATTAATATGTTTCTTGTGATCTTGCGATGAGATTCATTATTCAAAAAAATCCTTTGAAGTTATTTCAATTAATTATGAAGAAGATGGGAGGTTAAGAAGTTTGATAATAAATAAATAAATATTTGCAGAGACATATATGATTTGGGCTCGTTCTATGGTTATTCCATTTTGGTTCATGTCATTGTTGAAAGGATTTGGGGAAGAGAAACACAGTTTAAAATATTAGTTAGAGGCTGAGTTATATACCAAAAACCTGGAGAGAATAAAATACTTTGGATTTTTCAAGGACAGAATGTGGCTAAATGGAATTGCTTTGTCAAAAATCTACTATTTCAGATTTCATATCCTGGATTGAAAACATGTATTTACCCTCAGCCTTTGAACTGGCTCTTTACTGACATAAATGGAAGGACTATTTAATATGATTTTGGGTGGTCAAAGTTTAACTTGTTTAAAAACGGATTGCTTTACTGTAATATTTTATACCATAAATATAAGATGCAATATATTCCTTTTTTACTATTTTATTCATGTATTTGTGTCTACATATGAATACATGTGTATGGTTTGTTACAGCCAACCTTTCTCTTTTTCTTATTTAATTATAAATAATTTAAAAACCTTAAGCTAAATAGCATATATGTTTTCCCCATTCCCCTTTCTGCTCTACAAATATCTCCTAGGCAAATATATCTACAGTTGTAACTAATAGCATGCTTATTCCTCAATCTCTCTATGAAGGATGGCATTTTTATAGGCTAATAGCCTATCCACCCAGGAGGGAATATAAAACAAAACGAAGGAAAAATTGACTTGCTGCTTAAAGTCTTTGCTCTGTACTGTAACTAAGTAAAAATGTCTTCACTCAGAGTGTGTTAGATTAAAGTAATATTTCCTACATTTTCTTTTATAACTAATGTACTAATTAATCCCTGAGCTATTTAGAACTGGTAAAAGACTTGTGGTTGTTAAGAAGAGGCTGAATTTCCTCAGCTATCAGTTGCTGGTGAAGCGCAATGCATGGGGGTGTGTGTGTGTGTGTGTGTGGGGTCAGGCTTGTCCATTCTCTTTATTAAGCAATTTGCTGCTGGGGATTATGGGTATTAATGTAAAACTCGCCTGAGGTAGGAGATAATAACTATCCTGACTTTAGTAACAGTAAAAAATATCAAGTGTCTTAGCGGGAGGGGCAGGAACCATGTTTTCCTTCCAAAGGTGCTTTTTTTTCCAAGAGGCAACTGGATTTTCTTTGTTTTTCCTTGAAGACCTTTCACTTCTCATCCAAGAAGCTTCTTCAGTTCAAAACTTCTTGAACGAGAAATGAAACGTCTTCAAGGAAAAACAAAGAAATTCCAGTTGCCTGTTGAAAAAAACAAAAGCACCTTTGGAACAACCATGATCTGGATGACTGAGCATCTCCATAGCCACGTTCTCCTTCCTTCTCAGCAGCAAACAGCCAAGAATCAAGTGGGCACTTTATAAAGAACAGTAATATCTTTATTGCAGCAACAACTTTATCCTAAGGAAAATAATCATACTGTCATAATAATAAATCAAAACGTATATTCCCGCAAACCACATGTCACTTTTCCATGGCTCAGTAGATTATCGGTCCTCTTTATACAGCATCTGTATAGCTTCATTAATTCGCCATAACCTGCATCTGAGGGTGGCTCGGATTGCACGGCTTTATCTGTTCTCTTTGGTGGCCGTTTCATTTTTCTCCCCTTCTCCGTTCTGCTTTCGAAATAAACGCAGCTAAAATAAAATAAAAAAAAACCCTTTTAGCCGCTGCCCAGCTACCGGTCCGCAGCCGAGCCAGCCACGCGCCCTTCTGCGCCAGCCACTCACCTCGCCGGACCTCACCTGTCCGCGCCGCCGCGCCCCCCCCGGGGGAGGGCGTGGCCTCCCCAGCCCCTTCCCGCCGGACTACAAGTCCCGCCATGCCGTGCGCCGGCCTCCTATTCCTCACTCTCTTTCTCTCTCTCTCCCTCGCTCGCTCGCTCTCTCTCTCGCAGGAGCCGAGCTTCCGGCGGCGAGGACCTTGAGCCTCTGAGGGACTCTGCGCGGCGGCGGGAGACGGGAGACGCTGGGGACGGCAGGAGGCGAGGCCGAGCCGTCCGCCGGGAGTAGCCCAGGTGAGCGGCTGCTCTCCGCCTTTCTCAGGTGCGTGGGACAAGTTTGGTCCGGACGGGCTCCAAACTCGCCCCTCCCAGGAGAGGAGGGGTCTTGCGGCGACCCCCTCCCCTCAATGCGGGCTCCACTTAAGCCCATCTGGACTGGGCGAGGGTCCCCCTGCCCTTCCTTCCCTTTCAGCGACCCCCGGGCTTCTCATTGCGACGCCCTCCCCCTCTGACCTGCCCCCCCCGGCCCTTCCCTCCTCCTCCCCCTCCCCCCTCCTCCCTTCTTTCTTCACATTCTCCAGCCCTTTGATCTGCCCTTCTTCATCCCCTTCTTTGGAAGCTTCTCCCTCTTCTCCTTCCATATTATCCCCCACTTTGGCCCCCAGGATTTTATCAGCGCCCCTGCCCGCAGTTGAAGGGCGGGAGGGCACCGATTCTTGGCTGCGGCTGGGTGCATGGTGGGGTTTTATAGTGCGAGGCATCCAGAAAGTGCGGTGTGTGTGTGTGTGTGTGTGTGTCTGGGAAATGTGTTCCAAGGCATTCAGAAAGTGGTAGTATGTGTCTGGGGGATGAAGTATAGCACAAAGCATCCAGAAAGTGATATGAATGTGTTGGGAAGGAGGGTAATATTAGTCCAAGGCATCCAGAAAGTGGAGTGTGGGAAGTGTAGTCCAAAGGCACTGGGACAAGTGGTACCCTATCTGTATGGTGGGGGGGGGAGGGGAAGAGATTGCTGGAGGGGATTTTCTCTTTTGACTTCATAGTTATCCTTTGGGATTCACTGCCACAAGATGGTTTGCAAAGAGGAATCTGCATAGATAAGGAAGGATCATGTTTCTGCAAGCTATTTGCACACTCCTTTCTCAAGAGTGCATGTTAACAGAAGGGGAACCGAAGGAAAGAGTTCCTCCCCCTCCCCCACCACATCTGGACTGCCAGGAGGAACCAAAATTTTACACTCCAAAGGTTGATGGCCTAATCCAGCCCTCTCCTTATTGCCTCTCTCATGCCTTCTAGGCATGTATACCTAAAGATTAAGTTTCTGTATCTCTTTTTTTCCCCTCTGAGTCAATGGCTCTCCACCTTTTTGGGTAAGCAGCACAGTACTGAATATAGCAGTTATTTGGTGCCACATCAGAAAATTAAAAAACGTATATAGGTATTTTTAAATGTGTAAAATATGGCTTGAGGGGAAGTTACACATTTGTTTTCAAATATCTGCACTGTATTGAATATACTGATTATATTTTTAAAAGTATTGAAAGGAATAGCCTAAGTCTAACACAAAAATCTTGGGGCACACTAGAAATAAGCCCATGGCATGCCTGTGTGCTATGTCATCCTGGTTAAAAACTATTATAATAAATGATCTATTATACCAGGCAAAATTTCTAAAAATGTGATCACTTACCTGGATGCTTTAAAGTGGAATTTCTAGGAGCATCTGTTATTACTTTTAAAAATTCTTGTAAGATTTGTCATTACAGCCTTTGAACATATTTCATTACTGTTATCTATTTATCAGGATCTCCCTCTTTTCCTGTTAGCTTTATTTCTCTATTCCTGCCTGTTTTCTTCTGTGACTTTATTTCATGCTTGTGAATACTGAAGGTTGTGGTAGTTGGCCGCAGCACAGGATTAGAATTCCTTGTGGTTCCTGTCTCCTTGTGCTGCAGGGGGAAATGCCTGAACCGTTGGGATGAATGAAAACTTCATTTCAGGATAGTCCACCATTAAATCTTCCCCATCCCAAATCCTTCAGTGATTTCCATACATTGCCAAAATATGGGAGGGGATCCAAAGGTGAGCTAATCTTTATCATATTACCCTTGATCATTTTGTGGAAAAAGAAGTACAGTAATAGGTTTTGAGAAAATGAAGAACATGCATGTTAACTAGGTCAGATGAATTATGCCTCCTGCTGCTGTGTGCTGAAAATCAAGAATGAAAATAATTGCAGTGATTAGGTAGGAGTAAGTTCAGCTTTCTGTAGATTAGTTTTCTCTAACTTGGTGTCCTCTGTGTATCTTAATTTGTAGCTGTTATCCTCCCATATTGATAAGATGCTGAGTATTTTTAGTTGCTCTGTTTGGAAAGATAGACAATAGAGGACTAGTAGAGAAGAAATGTGGATTGTCACACAGAATCTATCAGGACTATATTTTGTGATTGTATCTTTCCATATGTTCAGATTAGTAGCCTTTGATTACTCAGATTTTCCATTTAAGCTAGATAAATAATAGATACGGTACATTTAAATCTGTGGAAAGCCAGTTTGCTGTAATGGTTAAGGCATCACGCTTGAAACCAGGAGACTGAATTCTAGTCCTGCCTAAGGCACAAAGCCAGCTGGGTGATCTTGGGCTAGTCACTTTCTCTCAGTGCTATGAAAGAGCCAGTGGCAAACCACTTTTGAAAAGCCTTGCCAAAAAAACTAGGGACGTGTCTAGGCAATCTCCAAGAACCAGAAATGATTGAACATAAGGGAAAAAAATCTGTACAATACTATAATGGATAAAAGGATATTTACTGAGCTAAACAGAATATATATACAGTAACTCTTGTTAAGTTCTAGTCTTTGTATTTGTTTGAACTATGATAAATTAAGTGTTAAGTTCTAGTGGGATAGCTAAGCAAGTTCTGTGGAATAACCAAAGCTAATTAAAGTATTGTGGCATAAACTTACACTAATTCATTTTTTTAATGCTCAGGAAAGAAAGATGGATTACATGAAAGTTTCAATGGATATCTGAAACTGAACTGTTGTTAAATGAATGAGAACTAAATAAGTGAAATTAATGTAAAGCCAGGCAAGAAAAATTTGAAGATTAAACATTTGGCAATGCAATGCAATTCAATGTACGTAGAAATAAAGGGATTGGTTTGGACAAAATTCAGCAGCACTTTTTCGTGCGGCTGCTGATAAAAACAGGATCACCAACATCCGATAATGGATATGGCACAAGAAGAAGAAGAAATAAAGTTTACATTTGTAAAAGGAAGGACTTTCTTTTAGGTCTGCAGCATTTAATGAATGCTTAGTAAGCAAATCTGTGGAATATATAGACCCTCCCAAATTAGAAAAAAAATATAACTTCTTGTTGTAAAAGTTAACATTAAAATACTGAAAGTTGTATAAGTATATTGAAAATATATATGCACTTGAATAATATTTACATTAGCTAAGTATATATAGAATTGTAACTATTATCTCTTGTAACATCCTGTTGATTTTAGTGTGAAAGAAGAGCATATGTGTAACTGTCCTGTTGAAATTGGTGGCACTTCATTTTGCCAAATTGTGACCTCTGGTCGCTGCAGCTCTGTGTTGAATGTGACAACAGTCTGTAAGAGCAATTCACCTTTCTGATGCAAAGAAAAAAAAAAGGGGGGGGGGAGAATAAATATATTCTGGGACTGTGGTAGCCAGTGTGAAGAAATTGCTTTTCTAATGTTTATTTTTGGCTGTTAGTCATAGTCACTGATTAGAAAGTTCCTTCTGATAAGGCTGGTTGCTTAGTACTGTTGTTTGGGGCTAATGGTAGTGATGTCACAAATCAGTGGACTTAAGCAGAAAAAAGTATTTTACTTCCTCAAAGCTTGTTGCTGTATTTTGAAAAGCTACCGAAAGACCCCATGTCATTTATGACAAGAGGCCTCTCTAAGTAATATGATGTTTGTATGTTAAGTTGGATTTTATGGCATGAATGAATAAGGGGTTGCAGTAAGATGAAAGGAAATGGATAGCTGCAACAACAATTTTGTAAGTAGCCATCTCCTTTTGTGAATGCATCCACTTCATTCTTTGAAAATTCCAACTGCATCTTTGGTCTCCAAAAATTGGCTATTTTGGTTTAGGTTTTCTGAAGGTATGAATTTTATGTTGACTTCAATCTAGTTAGGAGCTCTAACCAAAGCTTGGCCCGTGACCTTGCTAAAACCTTATTGACACAATGATCTTTGAATTGATGTCTCTGTTTGTTGGTCTAGCTTCTCCTGAGCGGTGGCTAAAAACAGCACACTCTGTCTCAAGAGCATTTTCTAGTGATGTGAGCCAGATTGTGAACCAGAATGTGTGAAGTTGCCTTAAACAAGGGATAGACTATGTTCACATAAATAGCAAAGCTAGGATTTTTTTTTTTTTAAATGTGGCTTAATGAATGAGTCCTGTGGTTGTTTATGCTAATTTATGGCTAGGTCTTTGGTACTTTCCAGATGTTTTGTATCATACAACCCCCTTACCACATGCCATATTGGCTAGGCCGCTAGGATGAATGAGAGGTGAAAATTTAAATCTCTGAAAAACTAGGTTGCCTTCTCTTGCTTAGATTGGTTCAAACATAGACTTCCAACTTTTGGTGCAGTAGAATAAGGTAGTAACATAAAACCTCAACTTTTTTCTTTTGTATGATAACGTACTGTATCCATTTCTATAACAACAAGCCTATCTAATCAGCAAAACCAAAAATCAAAATTTCATTTTTTTCCACCTCAGGCACAAAGTCCAAAAAGTGATTTCCAAATAGAAACAAAAGTAATTGTATTTTTTTCTTTAATCAAGGCAGTCACTTTAGCCATCTCTGCTAACTCCAGCTTTTGCAGCCATTCGTACATTGTGGGAATCAAAGTATCCTTCCATTCTTCTTGTGCATAAAACATTCTTGCTACCATCAACATATGTGTGTGTGTGTGTGTGTGTGTGTGCGTGCACACACACGCGCCAAGTGAAGGAGATTTTATTTCCCTAGAATCTAAGCCGGGGAATTCTCTTCACCTGTTTCTTAAAAGATTCTTAGGAATGACTGTGTTAGGAATGCCTTGTTCATGTTTGTCTGTTTATTTATTTATGGAAATGTATGGGGC